ACTGTAGTTTCGCTCCGCCGTATTAAGTGTCCTACTCTCAAATCTTAATGGTCTTTCCTTCCCTTCAGCGTCCTTCTGCGACAGCAACCCTCCTATCGAACAAGGCCCAGCATCCGTGGCTACTATGAAGGGTCTCCCAGCCTCATCATCAAAGTACGGCACGCCCAGTACACGTCCTCCCTCCTTAAATTCATCTTTAAGCTCTTGCATAGCGAGTTCCTTCGAGGAATCCCAGTAGAATTTCTCAGTTTTCGAAGGAGTAGTCTCAATGGCTCAGCCTTCTCCGCATACCCTCGTATGAATATACGCCAGTAACCGACCACTCCCAGAAACTGTCGGACCTCAGTTGGACTATGTAATGGTGACGGCCAGTTCAGGAGTTTGTCTAACTTCGCCGGATCTATTCGGCGTCCCCTCGAGTCACAGATAAAGCCCAAGATCTTAATAGTCGAGACGGCCCATCGGCTCTTTGCTCCGCTGACTGTTAGATTCGCATCGTCCAACTGCTCGAGTACCGCCCAAATATCCGTTAGGAGCTGCTCGACGAATCTTCTAACTCCAGGTGCAACCTCTGCCTCATTCTTGTTTACTGGCCCTTTTATAGGAAAGTCATCGAGAAAAACTTCAACCTTATCAGGGATGAAGTCCTTGAGGACGGCTACCATGGCTCTCTGAAAAACGGCTACCCCATCAGTCCATCCCATAGGGACAACCATCATCTGTATTAGTCCCAATGGTGTATGCATAGCCGTGAGGTGCCTGTCTCTAGGGTCAAGTGGCACCTCATCATAGTCTGAGAACAGATCACAGACCGAATAAATCGACTTACCTGCGGCGCCTTCTGCCAGTAAATCGGCGTGTGGCACGGAGCCCACGTCTCGTATCGTCACCGCGTTGGCCTTGTAAAGGTCCTGGAACCATCGGATCTTGCCATTCGGCTTTCGTAGGAAGAACCATCGATTAGCATAAGCGCTATCAGACGGCTCCGCAACATGGGAAACCATCTTTTCTTTCAGAAAAGCGATAATTTCTTCCTTCTCCTTCTGGGCGTATTTCCATCCCGTGTCATTCCAGGGAACATGTGGTATCGTGTAAATCCTTGCTGGCTTAGCGTATCGAGGTTCAACCCTACCACGCTCTGCGTCACTAAAAGCTATGGCCTTATCACATGTCTTCAGGATTTCTATCACACGTCCTCGCTCCTGTGGGGTCAAATTCCCATCTTCGATGTCCATCCCTGCCATCCTCTCTTCCGTTAGGCGTTGCGGCTCCTTTCTCTTTCTTTCTTTGATTTCTTTCGCGATCTCTTCTTCCGATATCCCTTATAGTGCAGATCGCTCGCGGCCCACCGCCGCTGGCTTAACTTTTTGAGCTACTCGCTTGTGTCGCTTGGGTAGCCCCCCACATAGGGGGCCGTGCCCTTAAAAAAGACACGGATACCACACTGCCAAATTCCTCATCTTTTTCCTTTGGGTACGAGTTGCCGTCCACTATTAGCCGATTCCCTAAATCTTCCACCTCCACGATCCGACCTTCTTCCTCTGTGAGCAGTGGTCCATATTTCTTGTCGCGAAATCGCACCGTGCGGCCGGAGATAGGTAACGACTTAATCTGATCACTGGGTCTTGCACCCACAGCGAAGGCTGCTCTGTTCCTCGGGTCCCGAGGCTCCACTGGCTCAATCATTACCCGCGTCCCATCTGGCTTCTTAATGGACAATGTTTGGCTCCCATCAGGTCGCTCTATCGTCACCGCATGCACGAGGCTCAGTTACGTTCGACCCAAGAGAAGGTCGGAGCTGCAGTTCTTGACTGCAAAGACTGGCAGGGTCACTCGTACCCCTTGGACCTCTATGGCTGCCTTGTGAGAAACCCCAGTGATCTGTTGCTTTCTCCCATCAGCCGTCTCTATCTCGAATAGGTATGACCTATCGAGGCCCAGTCCAACCTGTACTGCCTGGTCCTCGTCTATGATGACAGCCTCACTGTCGTTATCGATCACAGCATCGAGTACCGCTCCATCGTTTATAATCGTCTCCACGGCCCCGCTACCAAGTATATAAAACTTGTCTGGAGACACACCTTCCATTCCATCAAGAAGGACTGTCGCCATGCGATCCGCTCTGGCAGTCACCCCCGTTACTGGTACTGTAGAAGTTTCCGCCTTAAGGGCCCCCTGACCCTCCTCCGATAGAGGTATGCGAGTCTTCCGTGTGATCATCTGTAACTCATCACGAGCCGGCTTCGATGCCGCCAGGTACTCCAGAATAGAGCACTACATGGGTTGCCGAAGGGCCCGCCTCGGTGGCTCGACCGTGTCAATCTCGTATAGCGAACTCTTCATTAAGAACTTCTTCACTCCCTGCTTTCCTGGCGAAAGGATAACCTCCTCTCCATCGACCCGCTGCCCGTCCTTCTCCGCCATCACGTAATCCGTGTCAGTCTTCTTCGATGTAGACCCTCTCGCCGACTTGGTGGCTGCCACCCTTATGGGTGTGGTCGCCATATCCCCCTCAAAGGTTTTCTTGATGCTCTGGCTCCTGACCGGCTCCTTTTCTTTACTCGACTTTACTCTCTTCGCTTTGACATTCTCCTTCATCGAAGGGAACATCGATACATCTCCCAGACCATCTGCCCACTTGATGTACTTGCGGTCGTCAAGAACAACAAGTCCCTCATCTATTGCCCGTTTGAGGTCCGGGCAATCCCTCTTGATATGATCTTCTCCTCTACATTAGACGCATGAGTTCCTGGGAGTAGATGGCATGTCGTCTGCGCTTCTAGAGATCGAACTCCTGGCTGCGTTGGGGTCAGGCGACTTGGGATATGGTTCTGATGAGACGCCATATGCCCCTCTCTCATTCCGACCGCGCCAATCGTTGCGGCGGTCTCCTCCAGACCCTCCTTGCTCATACCGCCCTCGCGAATCATTCCGGCGGTCCCCCGAGTCATATCGCCCTCGTGACTCATCGCGTCGGTCCCCTCGGTTGTACCACCCCCGCGACTCGTCGCACTGCTCCCTCGCATCTCCCCCGCGCTCAAACCGTCTGCGCGACCCATCTCGTCGTTCCCAGTCCCGATCTCCTCTTTCATACCTACCACCTCTGTAGCCATCTCGACCCGACCTCTCGTATCTGTCGTCCCTATATCCGTCTCGGTCCGATCTCTAGTATCTGTCGTCCCTATATCCATCTCGGTCCGATCTCTCGTATCTGTCGTCATTATATCCATCTCGTCGGCCCTGATCTGTCTCCCATCGGCCGCGGGAGTCGCCTCTACCCCGATCGGCCTCATAGCGAGGGTTTCGCGGGTAATCATCCAGCCTTCTTGCTCGCGCAAACGGCTCGGGATCTCTGCAGTCTCGGTCTATCTCATCACCCCTACGTCGCCATGGCTCATCGTCTCTCTCTCTTCCCCTCGTACGATAATCAGTCAGCGTCCGAGGATTTCTATCCTCGACACTCCTCCAGGAATCGTTGTTCCTACGGTCCCAGCGAAGTGAATAGGGCCCTCCAGGTTTGTCCCGGTAGGCCGTGGCCCCTGTAGTGGTCACAATCTCTGTAACCTGTCTGGTCAATCCCTTCACCATGTCCCGTATCTCCTTCACTTCCTCAGCCACGGCCTCATTCTTCTCCGACCAGGGATAGTCCTTGAAATCAGGACATCTATCGGTGGCATGCTCCTTGTAGAGAGAGAAGTCACGTCTCCTCATCCCTCTCCATACCAAGTCCTTGTAATCGTCAGCCTCTGCCTTTATCGCGAGCCTAAGGACTTCTGGGAAATCAAGCCTGTCACGCGGAAGATCTCTAAGTATACTCTTTTGCCTATCTTTGGACAAGTGTCCGATGAAGATAGTACAACGCTCGACCTCTGAGATCTTCCCCTTCTTCATCAGTACGTCGGAGATCTTCTGGAAACGCATCCCAAATGCTCGTACGCTCTCATCTTCATCTCCAGTCATTGTTTTAAGGTCCTTGATGGAATACTTGTTATCCTCCAATTTGTAAAGCTCAACGAGGTTCTTCTTGTACGTAGTCCATTTCCCATCCTTCGGTCGAGCTTTCTTAACTTCCCTACTGAGACTTGGGTCCACATTAAATAGGAAGTTCTCTRTAATCTCTTCCTCCGACCACTGACTCCGGCTGGCGTGAAGCTCCCACTTCTCAAGATATTCTGTGATACCATAGCCCCTGAAGGTGGAGGCTCTGAGGCCTTGTGCGTAATAATATAGCAATATTTGCCCTCGTAAGGGAGTGGATGTGACTCCCCTGTCTGGGGGTCGAAGACTCGCCTGAGCGGCGCCCAGTCTCTATCTCTGTCCCTCTTATAGGAATCCCTCAAACTCTCTCTCCTGTCGTCTCTGTGCCTGTCCGCTATGGTGTCCCTCCGCTCATACTCGGGGGAGCGTCGCCTCATCGCTTCTCATCGTCCGCTCGAGGTACCCATCTTTAGAGCCTCCTGCGGCTCTGTCGCAACTGGTTCGCCCTTTACGTCGGGCCCTCCGTCATTGGTTTGGTCAGCCCATCTCAGCGGTGCTTCTCRCCTAATTCGTTCCTTCAGATCCCTCAGAGCTCGATCGGGCGATGTCCTGTACACCTCTCCCGCTTCGCCCGTGGTCGATTGTGGCCCCATCGTGTCGGGTTCCATTGGACCGCCAGAAGACGCAGTTAGGTATTCTAGCCAACTATTACAGCCCGACCCTATGACAGTCGCTGCAGCCCGGACCTGTGACAGTTGCGGCAGCCCGGACCTGTTTCCTTGTCACGGCTCGCGTCCGCCTCCAATCTTAGCTCTCGACTGCCTTGATTACCACTTCCAGTATCCCGTACCGGTCGCGGATCTCGTGCTCTCCCTCTATCCCAAGAATCCCTGTGTGTAAGTAAACCTCTCCTTCGGGATCGGCCAACAAGGCCGTGCCTCTCCGGATCTGCAGTACACCCGTGACATGACCTCTATCTTTGAGACAGATCGCAGTCCTAAACCTAGCCAATGTCTCCTGATGAACACCTCTCAAGAGTCTCCGAGCGTCTATCTCCGTCCTCCTTGCTAGTTCTCCTAGCCCTGTCCTGAATCGGTTAGCCCGCTAAAGGCCCTCCTACTGCCATCCAAAGTCGCCCTCTACTACGAACGTCGGAACTATCGCCCACATACTCCTAACGCTGTACGGGAAAACCCCGTCCCGTGCTACCACCAGCTCGCTCGTGATATCAAGAGGAGGGCGTCCGTGAAATAGGGTCAACGGGTCGCTCGAGTCCTCCGCTCGGAAGGCAGCTACCTCTTCCCCTAGGTAGCGTAACGCCCTGCTAACTGTGCCACTAGTCCCTGTCGTCGCGAGGCCCACCACGGCCTCCCTGACCACACCCGGTCCCAAATACAAGTAGGCTCTCACTACGCCCACTCCTTGCCCCGGCCGGTGCTCTCTGTACGTCCAAAGCCACACGTCCTCGGACAAGATTATGAACCTCCACGCAAACCGGCCGTCAACGTGTCGAATGTTGCGCCTGGGGATCGTGAGCTCCACCAAATCCCCCTCTATGAGTTCAGGGGGCTCCAAGTCCCAGTCAATGGTAGCCCCATAGACCTCTACTTGCACCCGCGGCCATATTCAACTGGCGGCTAGAGAGAACGCAGCAAGAGGGAGGTGTAGATTAATAACTGAAAATTCCCGTCGCTTGCCTCACGCCTTCGGGAACAAGCTAGTAGGTCCACCCGAAACAAGGTTACCGCAGCGTCTCTTTCCCTTCTTCTTCTAGGGAATTCTTTTGTATTTTTTAATTATAAATTAAAGAAAATGTATTTAGTTAAGATAAAATTTCTTTCTTAGTTTATATATATTAAGGATCAATACATATATAAGCC